TCCCGTGTTTATAGTAGTTCCGTCCTTAATAAAGACGAATGTAAATGTTTTTAGTAAGTGTGGTAATAAACTGCATTTTAAAAGAGAGTTTAAAAACTGACTTTAGATTGTTAGATTTAAAAAATTGAGTGTTTGAAATTGTTGTAAAATATATTTTTAAATAGATAAAATGTTTTAGATATTAATTATGAAAATATAAAATAATCAGTGATATGAATAAGGATAAATGAGTAATTTTGCTCGAAAATACTTTTTGAAAAAGTTTTAAAAAATTAGAATTTTCAATTTTTCAAAAGTACTTCTCAAGTTGAAAATTACTTTTGGCTTGAAAAATTACTTGTTATGTATTGTTTTTAGTCTCAAAAAGTACTTTTAACCTGAAAAATTATCTACTTCCTCTATTCCATTATTTTTGTCTTATGTTGACTCTGAGGGGGTGTTTGGTTCAAAGATTGTGGGATTCTCATGAGATGAGAATCCCACATTCCCATGTTTGGTTGGCCGGGAATCTCATTCTCGGTAATGTTTTATTACCAATAGTAGATTTTTTGGGGTATATTATCGGGAATGTCATTATCTCCCTTCCCTTAGGTATTGTAACATTACCGGCGTTTTGGACTAAAATGCCCTTAAATTTTTATTTTTTTTTTCAAAAATATCATTCTTCTGTCATTGAATAATAAAAATTCTACGAAGATTAAATTACAAATTTATCCTTAAATTATTTTAGATTTAAAAAAAAATGTCTATAATTAAAATTTTATATGAAGTTCAGAGGTTAAATTTTTTTTACCCTTTCATTAAACCTATTTTATATTTTTAATTTTGTAAAAAAAATAAATATTATGAATTTAATTTTTTAAAGAAAATATATAAATATTTTACAATTTATAATATTATACAAATATATAATGACAATTTGGTCAAATATGCATTCCAATAATCTTTTATTCTTTTAACCAAACACGGTAATCTTACATTCCTGCTAAACCAACCAAACACAAAATACAACATTCCCAGTAATCATATTCCCTGGTAATCTTTTATTCCAACTGATAATCTTATATTATGTTAACCAAACGCACCCTAAGTTCATAGTTTTAGGAGGTAAATTAGCTGCATGTCATGTTATATGAAATAAGAGAAATGATAAAATTACTCTTAAAATGATTAATATATTTGATAAATTTATTTTAATATGGGTAGGAGAATGAGACAAATTAATTGTTATTTATTTACTTTTTTAAAAATATATTTTAAATGAGATAATTTTAAATCTAAAAATGACAAATTTAATGGGACGGTACGAGTATTCTATATCGGGGATAGATCAAAGGGGATGGATGGCCCCTAAAAACTTAAAATTGTCACATATTTTAAATTTATTTTCTAGCCATTAAATTTTATATTGTGTTTAGTCTTAAAAGCACTTTTGACCGAAACACTTTTGAGAAACATTGCAGGACGGGAAGAAGTAATACCTGCCACACTTGTGATGAATGCATTTGCATAGAGGCTATCATCCAGGTGATTTCCACTCCGTTGAACCGTTGGGAAACATCCACTTTCTCTATTACTCAGCTTTGATGTAATCAATATGATACCATAATATGAAAATGGATCTCCAAACAACAACACCCATAGGAGCAGCGTCGTTTTAATCAATTTTGGTGAGAAAAGCATAAAATATACGACAACCCTAGTTTTGATTGGGAGCTGCTTGTACTCAGTGAGGGGAGTAATGGACGGCTTTCATCTGATGGAGAAGACTCTTCAACCTTACTAGAAGCTAGGATGCCAGGAGGAAGCTTTGCTCGGTTCACCGAAGCTATCTTCTCTAGCATTTGAAATGCATCGGCCGTCCTACCTTTCATGCATAGGTATCTCGGAGACTCTGCTGCAACCCCATACAGAAAAAGAAGAGCAAAAGAAGGCACTGCTGAAAATGCAAGTACCCACCTGCAGTTTAATCTGGGCATGACAATCTGTGCAATAAAAGCTTATTAATCATTCCATATTTCTACTCATTGCAGCAATGCTGAATTTTTTTTAGTAGTATCAGTTTAAAATATTTTTTAATCATCGACGACGCACACATTTCAGACACAACTATTTGAACCTGGAACCTCTAAAAAAATAACAATTTCTTTTACCACTTAGATCATATAATGGATTCATGCATCAAACCTAAAAGATATCCTTAAATGAGATTAGAAAAGCACCTAAATCATTCCATATCTCTACTCGTTAGGGATAGAGTCTGGATTGAACTACGAAGGGATAAGTTGTTCAACTTTAAAACAAATAGTGTCCTAAAAAGTAATTAAACCAAACAAATTTGAGGTAAAGGTTTAATTCCATCAATTTTAAAATTGACAGTGTCCTAAAAACAATTATACCAAAAATTCTAGGAGAGGTAAGGACTTAATTACAATGATTTTAGAACTACTAGTGACTTAAAAGACAATTAGACCATCAAAGTTGGGTTCCAACTATAACATGCGTTCGTCCCTGATTGCAGCTGCAACTGTTTGAATTTAGACCTCTCAGCTCAGTTGGTAGAGCACAAGGCTCTTAATCTTGGGGTCGTGGGATCGAGTCCCACGGAGGGCATTTCATAATTCGGAGGTCTCCTACAGAAGTTGCTCTCAACCTGGCGTTAGGAGCAACCTACTATCCTACCTCCCTTTACTCCATTACATATGGGAATGAGGGTCAATTAATATATATTTATCACATAATGGGTTATTCCAGCCACCCTAAAAGATAGCGGTTATAGGAAATATACATACTCATACGAGAGTAGCCTCAAAGATGGATCCAAATGTCCAGAAAGTAGAAAAAAACCACCATCCACATGCCTCTACTAGAAGGTGGAACAAACTCCAGGAATCAGGATAAGAACACAGATGAACCACCAAGGCCAAAACCAACAAACCCCCGAAGAATACAAGTGATAAATAGTTTGGAGAGAATGCACTCAATAATCCAGCTACACTACTCACCATTGTTATAGCGAGAAAACCTTTCCTGATAGAACCAAAATTAAAACCAACAGTCAAACAAGACTGCAACACTAAATGAATAATGCAGAAAGGAAAAGTAATAGGCAAACCTCCTTCCGTAGTTATCGGATAAAATGCCCCACGAATAGGCTCCGACGAGCATTCCGGTGAAAACAATGGAGCTCAACATGCTCTCATGATTTGTGGAGAGTTGCCACTCTGATTTAACTGTCTGTCCTATGAATGAAAGAATCATGATCTCCATGGCTTCTGCAAACCAACCGAACCCAGCGTATGCAAGAACAAAGGCCTGGAATCTGCCGAACCCCAGAGTTTCAAGGGGGCTTCATTCAACGTATATAAACAACATCTTCATGATCCATCTAAAAAATTTCAAGAAATGGTATATTGCAGGCAAATTTGCTCGGGCGGTGAAAAAGTGAATTTCTGTGCAAATGGTGCTGCAGATTTTATTTTCTCGAGTAGGATGGTCTCTGCAGTGTTCTGGGAAGACGTTAAAACCACATAATATCTTCAAAAGAAGAAGCATGAAAAACCCAACGTCTTCCCAAATAAGCAAGGGAAAGACGCTCATCCAAGCATCTTCCTAAAGCACTGAAACATTCACCCTATTTAAATGAATAAAATCTGCGCCACTTCCCTATCCAAGCAAATTTGTCATTCTTGTATATATAATGTATGTATATTTCATCAAAGAAGCGAAACACAGGCATTACCTTCAGCTAGCAACAATGAAGAAAACGTACAGGAATAAAATTTCCAAAATCACATGACAATTCTTTCCTTAATTTCCTTTTTCTTTCTTAAATCAAAATGCAAAGTTGCTTGGAAACATTTGAAGAAGAAGAAGAAGACCTTGTGAAAAAAAAGAAACCTGAGAGCCTCGTTTAAAAAAGAATGTAATGCTCTCTCCACCCTTTATGATCTGTGTTGTGTGTTGAAAAAAGGATTTTCCATAACCAATTCTACACGTGTTTACCAATGTCACAGTTCCCCTAATACAATTCCGTTTTCAAATCCTCTCTTCTACAATTCCACACAAATATGGAAAACACAACAGAAATGGAAAATAATGATTCATGCACAGAGATAATGACAATAATGAAAACAATTTAAACCTACGGCCTTTTAAATTTCAGCACTAAGACTAATGAAAATTTTGTAATGAAATCCATGAGATTCAAATTAATTTCAACCCTAGTTTCAATTAAATAAATAAATATTGTGTTTTAAAATACATAAGATATCATATATTTGTACTCTTTGTGATCTATACATTTATCAATTTTAATTTGATTTATAAATGCCCTCATTTATTTCTAAAAATTAATCTATCTCACCCTAGGTAAACTTCGACATTGCTAACCAATCACGACTATTAAAGTTTATTTTTGAACATGATGTTGCTTTTTAAGGTCTCCATGACCGACTAAATGTTACTATCATTGTTGAGGAGTGCTGCTAATTAGGTTGATTTTTATTTGTTATTTTCACTTTTTATGCCTCGTTCTTTGCATACATGTAAACTTGATTTCGATCTTACACGATAATTGAGGAGGGCAAGCAGTAAGCAAACCCCTATTATGATGCAAACTTTAACAAAAATGAGGGAGAAACAAAAGAATCAAAGTACCATAAGCATATAAAAGAGGAAGAAGAAACTCAAAAATTCATTTCCATTTTCGACATACAAAGTCGCATCATACAATGCTATACGACGGCATATTAATAAGACCAAAACGACACAGCCTAAAGACAACAAAACATTAGACCGGCACCGTTTTAAGTAAGACATTATTAACAATAAAACTTTATTAATCTCAAATTGGCGGATCACCATTTCCCTTATTGATTCACCGGGCACATCATGTGTAAAAACAACCAATTGGAGGAGGAAAGTCAGTTCCCATCTCCCTTCATAAGTCACCATACAACAATGGCAGCACTCTTGGTCTTAACTTGCAAATTGTGGAATAGTAGAAAAGCCCCAAAAGCTTCATATATTCAAAAGAACAAGAATGGTAACTTCAATCAAATATTCAACCTCACCTATACTACAATCATTCTACAACACAATCCAAAAAATTATAGTCCTACAACCAAAACCAATCAGATGGACAGCTCCCGGGCGTTTCTGCTGCTACCATTCGGTTCAAATGCAGGGCATGAAAGAGATGACCCAACCCAACCCAAACTCGAATGAAAATAATCTTTAGTAACATCTAAAAGGTATTTCTCCTCCCCCTTGCTCCAGAATACAGATATCCACACCAATCAATTTCACAAACACAGTTCACGTGACAAATGAAATTGAACTACTATTCCCTAGAACTCAAACGAATCACTAAAAATTGAACTCAAGCAGCAAATGGTTGGCTTGTTAATGTGGCTGAAGCACTTGTTTCCTGGTTTTCTGCTGTCACGGGAGACACCTCTGCCAACGGTTTGTCTGTCACAGTTATATCTGGCATAGGTGTGCCAGTTGCAGGTGCTGCTGGATAAGCAATCGTATCTGGATTGCTCCCAGATGATGAATTAGGTTCTTTCTCTTCTAGAGAAGGTTCACTTGCTTCTGATATGGGTGGTTCAACTGCTGCTGCTGCAGCGGCTGCAACAGGAGCTGCTTCTCCGATCGGGGTGCCTGGCATTGCAGCTGGCGCATCAGGTGGTGGTGCTCCTATCGATGTCCCTGGTTCTGCAGCTGATGCAATGGGAGGTGCTGCAACAATAGGTGTTTCAGCCGGTCCACTTGGAGGAGGTGCTTCTAATGCCAATGGTTTGCTTTGTTGCTGTGAAGTCTGTGTCACATGAGCAGGTTTCTTTTTAATTGTAATTGAAGCTGAGAGTGCTGACATTCCCGGAGGAAGGATTTCAATCGGTGGTTTCTTCCCTGCCTCTGACAAACTTGTAAGTTTGGGCGACTCAAGAGAAGCCAAAAATGCAGCTGTAGCATCTGTTTTCTCTGATGGAGTGTGCTCCATCTCCTTCTGTAACATTCTGTTCCACGCCTCAACCAAGTTCTTCAACGTAGGTCGCCCATGAGCCTGGAACAATTTTTAGATTGGTCAGAATGCATGAAAAGAGCTTTGGATCAGAAATAAATTCTCTACATTAACTAAATCATACATGTGCGTGGAGTACAGCCTCCGCAAGCATCCCAGTATCCTGCCAAGCCTTCTCCATAAGAGCATTGTCTCCCAAAATCGCAGCTGAAAATGCTGCTTCACGTCCCAATCCAAGGGAGATCAAATTATTTACTAAACCCTGCAATCATACAGACTTTCCTTAATCACACGAGAATAAAACTATATACCTGCAATGACCAACTTAAGCAACACAAAAATGTCCCCTTCAGTAATTAATAACTCAAAAACACACATAAAATTTAGTACTCTCATGAGACTCGAAGTTTTAGAATGTAACCGAAGTCACATTCAATGACAAGTTGAAGAACTGCCAAGGAGCTTTTGCATAATAGAATACTAAAGTTGGTTACTATTTTTCCCCTGTAGCATTGATAAAAATTACAGAGCAAAAGGGGGCAGAGAGAATTGGATGAACAATACTTTTATTACTTAAAACGGATAAAGTAATAAAAACCAAGTACTAGAACAGTTTGATTAAGTTAATTAGAAATGATAGCTTTTTCTGATAAAGGGAAGGAAGAGGGGTTGTCTGGGATCAAATCCAGGACCAAATATCAACCCGGACTAAAGTGACGTCCCTTGTCAGTACACCACAGGCTTGGTCAACAGAGATGATAGCTTCTTAATTTCCTTATTACCTTACAATGACAACACATGTTATCATATCTAAGAAAACTATTATTAGCTCCAACTCCGTAAAAAATAAGGGTTGGCAAAATATAACTATATTTTTAATACTTAAAACAGATAAAATTAGAGATGGTGGCTTTTTAATTTCCTTAAACTGAACAAGGTAATTGCCTTACAATGAGGAAACAGATATTATCATATATATAAGAAAATTAGAATTACAACTAAATACAAAAATAAGGGTTGGCAAAATATATATAATATTATATATATACACGTACAAATTTTGGAAAAGTTTAAGGTATGCTCGGGCATGTAAAATCAAGGCATGAAATACAAAGTCTTAATATGAAAAAAGGGCAACTGCAATCAAGCATTTATGTAGAATAGAGTACTAAAACCAATTTACAACTATCACACAGCTCAAATAGAGAAAGGATTTAGTAGAACGGTTACATCATGTCAACATATGTCAACTTCCATTCAAATCACGCCACATAATCATATATGTAGAAGAAGTCGCCCATTCATTATCCATCACATGTGATGATTAAATAATAAAATATTTCAGCATTTCATTAATAATTAAATTAATAAATGCTTGATTTTTTCTACACATATGATTACTTGACTTTATTATGCTGACATGGCATAATCATTTCATCCTATCCTTTCCAACTCAAATAACCATTTAAGAGGAGGATACGAAGATTGCAACTTACACCGAGTCGTGTCAATTCGCCATGATTTGCAAGGCGAAGAGCAAGCCCTCTTAACTCGTGACCCTGCAAAGCCCCTTTCACTGAACCAGCAGTAGCTAACCTTTTAAGAGCTTCACGAGCAATGTCAGCCTGGGCAGTAGCATCAGCAGCATCAATAAGGTCCAAAAATTCCTTTGCGAATTTTACTATTCCTTGAACAGCCTCGACCAGATTTTCCTTCTTAGCAGTTAAATTAAGTATATCATTCAAATCAAGACCCAGATTATCCTGTCCAATATCCCTGGAATTACTCATTGTAAGAAGACACTGCAGAGCTCTTTTCAAATCATTACTCTTCATGGCTAAATCAAACTCCAACCTGTAAATGTAGGGTAGCAATGTAATTGAAGAAATCATGGATAATGATGCAATATAAGAATAACAAAGGAGTTTTGCTGCATTCTATGTAATATCCCAAAATCCGACTAGTGACTAAAATGAGAATTTTGAAAGTTTTGTGCTCAGTTTTGAAATAAGTTAAAGTTCTGGGATTTAAGTAAAGAATTTTGATGATGGATTAAATAGCATAGATGGAAAATTAAAGGGAAAATTTAGTCTTTTCAGCTTAAAGGATATTTTTTTCCCTTTAAATAAGAGTTATACATGTGGGTTTTGGGAGATTTCTGGAAGCCTTCTTCTTGCTCTCTTCTTCTTCTTCCCGTAGCTCAAGCTTAAAGGTAAGTTTGATTTGTAGCTGTTAATTTCTTGAATTTATAAGTTGGTTTTGAATCTTTGGGGGTTATATAAGCTTAAGGAAAGCTTATATAAGCTTAGAACATCAAGAAGAGAGAATTAGAAAGAAATTTCTATTAAGAGTTTAGAAATGAACTTTTGACATATAATGGTTTTTGAAATTCTAAGGATGAATTTGACTTGTCCTCAACTTAATTAAGACATATGAAGTGTTAGAATTAGATTTAGATCATGTTGGAATTTGAGTGAGATTCTTGAATTCTATGTGGAGGATTGGATTTTTAAGTTTTAGAGGTATTGAATGGGTATTAATTAGTTTAAATATGTGTATAAGAGTTAAGAATATTAAAGGAGGTCAAAGATGAAGAGATGAGCTGAAAAGAAAGTGAATTTCGTGCTTAAAATGGAATTTTTGGGTTGTGTGCATCGATGCATCTTCAATGTGTATCGATGCACTCTCAAATGAATGAACATCGAATGCAATTAGTGCATCGATGCATAAGGAGTGCATCGATGCATAAGGAGTGCATCGATGCATCCCCTTAAGAATAAAACATCGAAGGTGATTTGCGTACCGATGCACACCTTAAGGAATGCATTGATATACTGTAGAGTGCATCGATGCATACCTTTATTAAAAGATGAAAATAGCTTTCTTTTAGCCTAAGAATCGATAGTTTAGAATATATTAATTAGTATACTAATATGTATCAATATATTACTATGTAGATTCAGAGCTTAAACAAGTTCCAGAACAATTACCCGGTAAGATCGATCGGGGGAAAAGCAAAGAAATACAGGTGAGTGCATACTAGTGACCTGTAGTATTTAATGGAAATAAGACTTGCGATGAGTCTATTTCCTAGAGAAATATGCATGAAGTCATGAACATGATTATGTGGTTGTTATGATTATATGTGCTATATGTGATTATATGTATTACATTAATTATATGTATGCATGACTAAAGATATTGATATGCTTTGTATATGCTATATGATTTGTGTAAAACATTATTATGTAATAATGGAAGAACATGAAATAAGTTATATGATAAAGACATAAAGAATGAAATGAACATGTGACATAAGCTATATGTTAATGAATCATTGATATTATATATATTTTTTTTGATAGGAAAAGTAGGTCTCATAAAAACCTCCTTCTTAGTAGCCCTTACCATGAGGTCAGAACCTACTAGGGGAAGGAGGAATAGAGAACCTTAATATATTGATAATGTAAAAATTACATAAAACTAGAACCACTCCTTTAAGATACATAAAACTTAAGCACACTCTTATAACGCCTTGATGAAAAACCTCCGAACTCAGTACTAAAAAAGTGACCCACTACCCAATCCCCTCCTTTGCAAGCAAATCTGCCTCGCAATTACAGCTTCTCGGAATCCACCTCACAATGACCTCATACTCAGAAACCGCATCCGCAATATCCTTGACAAAATTTAAAAGAAAAGGAGGAACTGACTCCTGATATTTCAACCACTCCACAGCTAACTTGCAATCAGATTCAATAATAAGCCTTCCCTTCAATACCCATTCTGATGACACAAAGATGTCTATTCCTCTTTTGATAGCTTTTAACTCTGCTAAAATGATAGGAGTAGGCCCTATTTTTTCTGAAAACGACATCAATTTAATCCGATTCCAATCTCTAAGAATGCCCCCAATTCCTGCTAACAACCCAACCCTACTAACTGCTCCATCCACGTTAAACTTAAAAAAATCGACTGGAGGAGGACTCCAGTAAACCACAGGCCTGTTCGAATCAAGAGAAGCTGAAATATTATCAGCCAATGAAGGATCACCAATTAGAGAGTCCACTTGAATAGAGGATAAAGGATACTTAGCTAGGAACCATTTCGCAAGCCTTAACCTGACTGTGAAAAACAATGAAGATGTGTCCAGCTTGCCTCTTTCAAAAACAATTTCGTTTCTCATCTTCCAAATCGACCATAAAACAGCCCCCGGAATAAACTTCCACATATTAGAAAATGGCCTAAGAACAAACCATGAAATTAGAATTGATGAAGGATCAGTAGGTAAGGCTAACTTGATACCCCAGTAGGCTATGATTCTGTTCCATAGTACCCAGGAAAACTGGCAGGAAATAAACAGATGCTGAACTGATTCCTCTGCTTGATTGCAAAAGGGGCATAGAGAGTCCTCCCCTAAGTGAACCCCCCTTTTCTTCAATTCCCCTCTAACCGCTACTTTATTAAGTGATACTTGCCAAAGGAAAACCTCTACTCTAGGAGGAACCAGACCTTGCCAAACACATTTGTTCCACCTAAAGTTATCCTCATCCACTGAGTAGAAAGATTTCGTGCAAGCTTTAACGGAATACAAACCCTCGCCCGCACCAACCCAAAGCATACAATCCTCCAAAGATTCATTTAATTTGATAACATTGAGCTTGTCCAATAGATCAACCAGCTGAGCCACTTCCCAATCGCATAGATTCCTCCTAGTCTTAATATTCCACTCCCAACCATTCAAATCAAAACTACCAAATTCAGCAACCTTACCCCCTTGATTTGTTGACAGAGCAAAAATCCTAGGGAAAAGAACTTTCAATGGAAAATCCCCCAACCATGTATCATTCCAAAAGAAAATCGAATTGCCATTCCCAACTTGTAACCTCGCATGAGATCTAATGCATCCTCCAAAGAAATCATCCTTCATGTAGCTATTCACAATACCTCTCCAAATCCAAGAGTCCTTATGGGAGGAGACTTTATTGACATCCATAGAAAGACAACTAACACTATGTTTAGAACATAAGAACTTTTTCCACAAAGAATCTTTTTCGTTGGCAACTTCCACACCCACTTTCCCAATAGTGCTCTATTAATAAGCTTCAAATCAACAACTCCTAGACCACCTCCACACTTCGGTTTACAAATCTTAATCCAACTCACCCAATGCATTTTCTTCTTTTCTTCTCCTCCACCCCATAAAAAATTCGCCATCAAAGAGTTTAATTTTTGACAGATTTTAGCTGGAATCTTGAAAATAGCGAGATAAAAGATAGGTAAAGAGGATAAAACCGACTTAATAAGCACCAATCTACCGGCCATAGACAAAGAAGAAGCTTTCCATCCCGCCAATTTCTTATCAAAGTTAGCTAGGACTGGCTCCCACAGTTTCTCACAGTTTCTTTTAGCCCCTAGCGGAAGGCCTAAATAAACTGTCGGAAATGAACCAATAGAGCAGCCAATGTCCCTAGCCCAATTTCTCAGTGTGTCCTCCTCCACATTAATACCATACAATTTACTCTTAACTAAATTAAGATGAAGCCCCGTCATAAAACTAAAAATCATCAACACTCGTCTAACGTTTTTAATTTGAGTGATGGAGGCTCGACAAAAAATAATTAAGTCATCCGCAAACTGAAGATGGGTCAAATTGAAACTGTTTTGCACATTTCCAAAAGAAAACCCTTGAAATAATCCTAATTCCACAGCTTTATTTAACATCATATGAAGGAGTTCACCAACCACATTAAACAAAAGAGGAGAAAGACTACATCCTTGTCGCAAACCTTTAGCAATATGAAACTCTTTTGTAGGAGACCCATTCAGTAGAATAGATATAGAAGCTGTAGAATACACTGATTTATCCAAGAACACCACCTTTCTCCGAAGCCCATCTCCTTCATAAGCCTTAACAGAATCTGCCAATCCACGGTGTCATAAGCTCTGCTAAAATCCACTTTGAAAACAACCCCCTGCAGCCCTTGTTTCCTCCAATAATCTATGCCTTCATTTGCTAAACAGACACAATCCAACAATTGCCTCCCCGGAATAAACGCGAACTGTGTAGGGCTAACAATATCTTTAACACAAGAAGAAAGTCTTTTCGAAAGAACCTTAGAGAGAATCTTATACAAGCTGCCCACTAGACTAATAGGTCTATAATCTTCAATACTCTCAGGATTACCTTTCTTTGGAATCAAGGTAATAAAAGCATGATTCACCCCATGAACCCACCGCTTTCCATTGTAAAAATCTGAAAAAAACTCCATAATCTTCACCTTCAACAAATTCCAATACTTCTTGTAAAAACCCATTGTGAAACCATCCGGCCCTGGAGCTTTTGCACTATCCGAAGATGAAATTGCTTGCCACACTTCTTGCTCTGTAAACACCTCTTCTAGAGAATCACTTTGAACTTGAGACAACTGTTTAAAATCAAAATTCAAGCCCTCAACTTCCAGTGTAGTTTTTTCATTATATGCATTCTTGAAAAACTTAAACACACTGTCTTTTATCTTTTCTGGATCCGAAATAACTTTGCCTTTAAAATTGATAGAATGAATAGTGTTGAATCTATTCCTTTTCAATGCACTAAGATGAAAAACCTTGTATTCCTGTCGCCATCTTTAATCCATCTGTTTCTAGATTTTTGAAACCAAATTCTCTCCTCAATCCTTAACAGTCTCCATAATTCCTTTTTAGACTCAATCAATTGTGCCCAATCCCCTGCAGACTGCTTTCCACCTTGACACTTTAAATCCAGACTGTTAATTTTAATTTCCAGCAACGAAATTGACTCTGACAGCCCTAAATGTCCACTTCCAGACCAGTTTCTGATTTCATTTTTTGCA